AGTGGTGATAGTAGTAGTAGTACTAATAATAGTAGTAGTGGTAGTAGAAGTAGTTTTAGTAGTAGAGGTAGTGGTGGTAGTATTTTTTTATCGTCCATGTCGCGAAGTACTTTTAAAAGAGGGACAACTCTTTGAAACCTGATCCCACATATGTGCATCTTTGGGATTTGGGTGCCAATTTTAGAATTTAAAAAAATAATCTAAACAAAGTAACATGTTTTAATTAGTTAACTCTTTCAGTATTTCAGTTTAAAACCAACATCTCCAGTAAAACATAGGATGTACAAACCTTTACTTCTCGATGGTAGAAATTCTCCTGCACACAGATAAAAGAAATACAATTAGCACGAAAACAAAAGTACAATCAGCTAGAAAAGACTAAGTCTGTAAAAGTGAGTATTAAATAAAATCTTAGAGGCAAAAGTTAGAATTAACTGTTGGATGAACAAAGGAATTATTAGTTGAACATATTAGTCTAACTAATAACTAGAACTTTAGGAGGAACAGGTTCGTTTTAGTCCAGGTCAGGGAACAGAGGACCAGAGTTGCTAAAAGGTACTTGGGATTCAAACCTCCAACACTTGTGTTTTGTGGATCTGGTGCTGGCTCATGACCTTGTTGCAGGCTCGTTATGCTTCGGGTGGATCTCCTCGTCTCCGGACCCGTTTGTGGCGCTCATGAACAGGATCCCAGGGTGCAGGAAGGCGTCAGGTTTGGAAACCTCCGGGTCTAGTTTCTGTTGTTTTCAGGCTTTTACCTTCAGTCTGCCCCGCATTGTGTGCTTAACTGTGAATCGGCTGAGAGTCCGCTCCTTGCAGGCTGAAGCCAAGGTAAAAGGTGGAATGCTCCCTCCAGGTACGGGGTGAAACTTTGGAAGGAAAATGACTGATTGAATGAGATCCTGGATACAAGCAGCTGAAATATGCTTCCACTGTCAGGTGGCCGAGAAGCTCCATCGTCCTGAGAGCTGCTGCTCCTCCACTTTAGGAGTCAGTAGTTGAGATGGTTCAGGCCAGTGGCGAGTTTAGCCTCTGTTTGGGGGGTGCTCAAGCACCCTTAAATTTTAACTCAGCACCACTGAAAATAAAGTAAATTTCTTTCTTTTCTTTTTTTTCTTTACTAAACCACCAAAAAAATGTTTTTTGAGGGGGGGGGGCAGTTCTGTGTTTGGGTTCTGTTTGTCGCATTTATGATTTAATGCAACATAATAAACTAATTTAAAAGGTAGCGGATCATTGTAATACTTGGTTTATTTACAGAATGACTTTAACTGCTGGATGTCTGGCCCCTGAGCTGCTGGACTTCAGTAAATATGTCCCCCCCCCCCCCCCCCCCCTGCAGTTTAGTTAAACAGCCCTGCTTTAGAGGGTTTAATACAGTTTATTCCATTTCCAAAACCTAAACTGAGTCTGAAAAAATGTAAAAGATGGATAAAGCCCTGCGGCCGACCTCATGAGCAGCTGAAGTGAGAAACAGGAAGTACCACATGTTCATCTGTACGAAGGGAACTGCAAGTAAATCATCCATTTTCTGTTGTAATTACACTGTATGCTTAATGGTTAAATTAAAGGTTAATTCTTATACTATAGCTAGTTGTGTTTTGTGTATTTTGTATGTAGATATATGTGACACCTCTGGTTGCATAAGTTTAGTCTTTGCTATGATCAGTTAACACTAAACTGATTTTGTACAAAGTGTTTATCAGGTTGTGCAATTTAAAGCAGAGTGCTACGTCTGTAGCATCTTAGCTAGCGCGTCTGTGTTGCACGCCGCTAGCTTAGCGCTACTTCTTGTTGTGCCGAGCTCTAAAATAGTTATTGAATCAAGCGTTTACTTATGTAAGTAAACCTAGATGTTAAATGACCTGTTAAAATACACCAAAATGCAGGAAATTATATCTACTTTATTTTAAAAAATTCAGGGGGAGGACTAACAGACACCCCCCACCCCCACTCCCAATAGTGTATGCCCCATATATTATGAATGTATCTCACGCCAATGTTGTTCAAGCCAAGAGCCATTGTCAGTACTGGGGGCTAAGCCCCCCTAAAGGTCAGGTTCTAGAATCGCCCCTGGTTCGGGCTTCTGATTGAGATGCCTCCTGGAAATCTCCCTTTGGAGATTTTCCAGGTCTCTCCACTGGGAGGAAAGCCCAAAACTCGTTGGAAGGGTTATGCATCTTCTCACAGGTAAAACTGTAAAATGTTGCTGGGGAGAGGGAGGTCTGGGTTTCCCTCCTGTTGCCTCTGCAACTCGAACACTTTTAAGTATGGAGAAGAAATAAGATGAATTTCTAAAATGTTCTTCTGTTAGTTGAGCGTTATGGGATGAAGGGCAGAGCTCATCAGTCTTCACTCCCAGAAACAGAATAAATACCTTTTGCCCCTTCTTCTTCTTCTTCTTCCTCCTCCTCCTCCTCCTCCTCCAACCATGTTGAATCTTAGAGATGGTTCATAAGTCTTAAAAAGGCTTAAATCTACCACCAGTGTGTTAGTATCTGGCTGTTATCATCATCTCAGTGCTTTTCGATCATCTCTACAATGGATTTTTTTAAACTTCAAGTGCAAATTCTGAAAAACAAACATCTTACGGTAGCATCAACATCCATCTTATTAGGTTTTAGCAAATCTCAAACCCAATCATAATGTCATGTTTTGTAAAATACTTAAAGTGTCGAGCATTTTTCTTTCTTATTCTGTAGATGGCAGACAAGATGTACAAACCTTTTTTCCTCACTGCGTACAGAGTTCCTGCAGAGATGGAGAGAAAAAGATCAAACGCGCTGCAACGTTCACGCAGATAATCAGCTGCTTCATTTCCAACAAGTTTGCACGATGAATTGGAGCATTTCTGACTTGTTCAATGAAAAGCATACGTTTTTTTTGTGAGCGTTACCTTCTTCATCTTCAGGAGCAATCAGGCTGGCAGCAAATTTAAATATGGACGAGATGACATTTGTTGATTCGTCCACAGCTTCGTTCATGACCTTCACGGGGTCTGAGCTGATCTTACTGAGGCCTCCTGGAGGAGCACGAAGGTGAATAACAAACAAAACCATCAGTTTGGTTTGATGGAAGCTGTTTCACCAGGAAAAATAAAGCACACCTTTGTAAAAAATATATATACATTTACTTCAAACTCAAACATCTGGACTGAGTGATTTCCTTGTGGGAGGTAAACTGAAAGGGGCTAAATTAAAAACTTTAATCTGAATTATAGGAGCTGACTGTCTTGTCAAATTACAGATAATAAAAGTTACCCACCTTTCAGTTCTAAAGCTTAAAGGGGCATTCCATAAAATATAATAATGTGCAAAAAGCAAGTTCTACTGACCCTCAGTCATCAACTCTTCATTCTTATAGTTTTGTCGGTTTTTGTTGTGAAGCTCTGAAATTGTTTTGCTTAAAATAAATTATCTGGTTGAGTTTGAAATTCTTGAACAGATAAACATCAAACATTGTTCATTTGGAGGTTATAAAGTAATTTTATTTGTCAAAAATCAATCAAAGTTTGATGAAAGAGGGTCTATGTTGCCAAAGCGAACGTCCTACAAACATTGTTCATCTTATTTTACATATTTATACACACAAATACTGCAGCAGGTGCATTTTCAGCTCGACTCTCCGAAACACAACAAAGATGTAAACTGCACTGACAACGCAAGAACACTGATTTCAGATCAGCTTGAGTTATGTCTTCTCTTTTTTTGAAGACAAAAACATCTGTTTAGGAAAATGACAGAGCAGACGTGACCAAGCTCATCTGAAGTTCAAACATCAAAAACACATCATTTCTGGTTTAAATCAAACGTGGTCGTTGGGTTCTTCCAATACTTGAACGTGTTTCCACAAAGACGTTTGAAGGCAGCATCAACGAAACAGCAGAGAAACATCTCATGTCTCCTCTCCTGGTACCCCAGTGCAGGGGTCTGGACCCACTCTTTGTTTTAAGGGTTGGAGCCTTAATGCCCATAAGTTTCCATATTAACAAGATTTATGGTCTAATTATGCCAGTGGCAGGGCAGACTCACCTATCTGAACACGTCCATCCACGTCCACGTCCTGCCTGAGCTGACGTCTGGGTCAACTGAGTCGACGACACAGTGGGAGTGTCAGACTGGACTTCCTGTTAGGTTTAAACTAACTCAATGTGGGTAAGATCCTGTGGGCACACAGAGCCTGATCACTGGTGACTAACAGAGACCAACATGCTCTGAGTCAGAGATGAAGACGTTTCAGTTACTCTGCTTCCAACAAATCTGGCCACAGCTCACCCACTTAAAGATATGATCTGAAAATAAATTCACTAAATTATTAATATGGCTTTTGCATTGAATAATTTACCTAATTTCTTGTTGAATCATCACAAAGTTAAATTCCTGCACTTACAGTTTGAACGGCATCCATCGTCCCTTCATTATTTTTAACATTCATGGAATTGCGGTCCTGCATCATTAGGACTTACATGTTGTCCATAGTCCGTCCATTTATTGTCTTCGTCTTGTTCCAGAGTCAGGTCTCAGGGCAGCATCTTGAGCAGGGAGGTCCAGACTCTAGGTCTAGCTCTTCCGGGAGGACTCCAAGGCGTTCCAGCTGAGAGTCTCTGTAGTGTGTCCTGGCTCTTCCCTGGAGTCTCCTTCCAGTTGGACATGTCCAGAAAACCTTCCTTTGGAGGCTCCCAGTGTCCATCATTACCAGATGCTCCGACCACCTCAACAAGCTCCTCTCAACGTGGAGGAGCTGCGACTCTACTCTGAGTCTCCCAGAGAACTGAACTTCTCACCCTATTTAAGGGAGAGTCCAACCACCCTGCAGAGAAAACTCATTTTGACTAACTGTATCCATGATCTTGTTCTTTCGGTCACGACCCACAGTTCATGACCAGAGGTGAGGCTAGGAATGTAGACCGAGCTTCGGACCGGCGTGGAGTATGTAATACTGCAACAAGTCATCTGTCGAGCTCACGCTCCGTTCCTGCCTCACTTATGAACAAACCCAAAGAGAACAGTCCACCATTTTCTGATTGAAACTAAAGTCCTGTTTTATTTAAACAGAACTCTTGTCCAGGTGACTCACAGAGCCTCTCATGACACCAGCTGACGCAAGATTTGAAGACTGAATAGAGGCGCTCAAATGCTAGGTGAGTCTACTCCACCACACAGGATTAATCTGTGAATTAAAGACGCTGTAAGGCTCAGATCCTCAAAACAAAGAGTCCAGACCCCTGCACTGAGGAACTTGGGGATCGACACCTTCAACAGGACACAAGCTGCGCTGACTGTACATCTGAACACAGAACGCTGTCATCAACGAACAGGAAGATTTTACCAGAACAACAACGTTTATAATCCAGCATTCTTCACAGATTTACGCATGGAAGCTGTGAGGGAACTTTCCAGCAGTGAAACCCAACGTTAGCAGTCAGTGTCAGGAAATGGACAGTTAGTAGTTTTATTCAGCGTCTAAACAGAAGCGTCTGCTCTGAGGAGTTAGGTGCAGTTTAGGGTTCTTGCCTCTATGCCCTGAATCCTTAAAAACCTTCCTGACGCCAGCCTGAGGGTGACCTGATTGGATGAGAGACAGCAGCAATGAGCAAAGAGTTTTATGCTGTGGGCAAGGAAAGGAAAGGAAAGGAAAGGAAAGGAAAGGAACGGAAAGGAAAGGAAAGGAAAGGAAAGGAAAGGAACGGAACGGAAAGGAAAGGAAAGGAAAGGAAAGGAAAGGAAAGGAAAGGAAAGGAACGGAAACATTAATAGAAAGGGAAGGGAGAATCAATCACAATATTTCTGCATGATATGATGATGATGATGATGATAATGAGGTTTTAAGCTTGCGTTTTATTTAATTCTGTTAGAGTAATTATTAATTCTAAATTACCAAAATTAGCTGCATCATTGTTTGTTCTCTGCATCAATACGAAATTAAAATGGAAGACAAATGAATGCAGTAAATAAGAAAAACATATTGTTAATGTTTTGCTTTAGTAATGTTGGTCAGATTAAATGTTTTGTTTTTGTTACTTTATTATAAGAGAAGTGAGTGACAGATGAAGGCCTGTTAACTTATTTTTAGCATTCTTGTAGAAACAAACTGAACAGGTAAAATGTGACTTTTGTACAAAAGTGCCTCCAAATCTGCCAGAATAAGACAATATATTGTAAAAGAAATGCACAACGTACTAAAAATACAGAAACGCAGTAAACAAACTGTTAAAAAGACAAACGAATGAAGATTATTTGGATTAAAAACAGTATGTTACACATCTTTGTCTCAAAATCAGATAAATTACTTGTTTAAACAACAACTGTGTTAGCACAGAGCGTCAGCAGTTCATTCAAATTAAATATTCTGTGTCCTATTCACTCGGTAATAATAATCCCTGTGTGAAGAACGTTAATTTTAATTTGGTTTCATTCAGTTCAGTTTATTCATGAAGTTCACGACTGACGTCATCTCAGGGTCTTTTAAAATTTTCTCTCAAGTTTATTTTAAATTCAGCCCAAATACGTCCGACCCAATGAAATCCATGAGTTGTCCAAATTAATCTGACAACCGTTAAAAATTGACTAACACAATCCAATTTAACTACAAATATTAAATTTACTCCAGTCATTTGGTTCAATGCCGTTTAATTAGATCTAAAAATCTTAAATGTGCTTTTCTTGTCTTGAGGCAATTTTTTAAACAAATTGATTGTTTATTCTGCCCAGATATATGACATTATATCCTCATGCTCTGTATCATATTCTATTATTTTACAAAGGCTTAGCAAACTACCACAAGTCGGTTGTTTCGGCTAAATATTTTTTGCAGCATTAACATTTTAAGTTATGGATATTAAATTAAAGATAATTAGAAATAAGTGAGAGCATTTTTAGACTTAAATGAAATGTTGAAAGGAGTAATAAAAATGTAAAATAATAATAATAATAATGATTAAACTGTAAAAAAATGTTTTTTTTTTACTGCACCTACAAGACATGCTTGACCCTCCTGCTGCCCTTGGGTCAAAATGACCCACAAGGCCTCAGTCTTCCTGCTGAGGCCTTGTAAGAAATTTGACCCAAGGGCAGCAGGAGGGCTAAACACAAAAACAGTCCGTTCATGGCAAACTGTACGAATAATATCCAAGTGTTTGGCACACAGATCATAAAGACGACCACCAGTGAACTCATAAGAAGTTTTCTAAATGTTGCTAATATATAATCTATAATTTCAACCCCAACTCACAAACTGCAGCAGTAACACACATTTTGACTGTCGGGTTTCTATTTACTTTGAATCCTTACAAACAACATATGAAATGTGTCTTTTCTTTGAGAGAAGAGACGAATAAAGTGAAATATTTATGTTTTACCTGAAATGGTTTTGTAGTCCATCACATCGAACATGATGATGAAGACGCACGACCAAGTGAGGATTAGAGCCAGGACTAGGATCCAGGCTATCGGAGAGCTAAACGTAGCGTAGAGGTTGTCGGTAAATGATTTCCTGGGCCCCCGCGAAGATGCCGACCCAGCATCTCCAGACTTACTGTCGATGACCATCGTGGTTGTCGTTGATGATCGTGCTGAGGAGGAAAGACGAGAAAACGTGGCCAGATATACATCATTTTAATTTTTCTGAAGGTCAGTGAGATGAAAGCAATGCTTCTTAAAAAGGTGGCCCGACAGAAAATAATGGAGAACTTTAAGTTCAGGGGGTTATATAAGTAAATATAATAAACAATAATGTGAAATGGCAAATGGTGACGAGAAACTATAAGTTCTAAAAGTCCAAGTGGGGTTTTGAGCTGCAAAATGTTGGACAATGAAAACACTGAAACCACTGACTGAATAATATGCAATATTACAATATACGATATGCTTTTATCTGACAAACATTTGATTTTGGAGTCAAAAAAATTCAGTTCACCAGCCCGGAGCAACCTACAGAACATTTGACGTTCCAATCTCTGAGTCCTTTTTCTAACGAAACAGGTACTTTTTTTATTCCAAACTTGTAGACTTTAGTAGTACCAGAATCATCTGACGTGTCTGAAGGGATGTCCCGACCCCCTCCACCTGTCCTCCTCAGCCTGGACTTTATTTTGGATGACAGGAGTCACATGAGGGGAATGTACTGTCATGGGTTTAGGGATTTTTGGTGATTATGGTTTGTTATTGTCTTGAATTGTTTTGAATGTTTGTGGTTTTGTTAAGATTCTTGTGATTTGTTTGTTTGTTCTTTGGTTTCAGTCTGTCTTTCTGCTTTGTTTAACTCGGTCCTGTCCTCTTTGTCCTCTACTCGTCCTGCACACCACGTCCTCATTTGTCCTTTTTCACACCTGTCCTGCATCACTACTTGTCTCTTCATAAACTTGCAGGTTATCCGTCGTGGTTTGGTAGAACCTCCTTGTGGTGTTTTCCAGGTAAAGTTAATTTTTTTCCTCCTACCTTTGACTGGTTTATTTTATTTTGCTTAAAACTCCTAATCTTGCAGTTCTTTAAGGATCTTTACTTCATGAAGCTGGCAGCCTGTGGAGCTGCGTCTACTCTTTAGTTCATCTCTTCACCTTGTGTTTTCATCGTAGTGACGGGAAGCACGGCTCTTTTCTGGGATCTGGATCAGCTTCCCCAAAACGCCCATCTCTTTAAGCTCCAATAAAGTGGCCTTTTTAAGCTGTAATCATTAATGTGAGTTTGAATGTGTTGTGATGTATTGGTTTAGTTTCATTTGAGAGTTTTCTGGTTTTCAAACATATTCCCAGTCAACTATTTAATTGATTTGTCAAAACGTTCTGCGTAAAAGCAGTCCCAGTGTGGTGTTGGTGTGGCTGTGGATGAGTCAGTCCAGCCAACAACACCTGTTGACTCTTCTCAGCTCTCTGCTGGAAGCTAACGTGGATCTCCGTGTTACAGCTGACTCGAGCAGCTCCTCAATGCTCCAAACACACTCTCAGACCTCCATCTGTCATCATCTCTGCTCTGACGCCTACAAACTACAACCTGTGGAACCTCCAAGAGACTCTGTGGAAACGTCACGTTGGTGCTGGATGGCAGTGTCAGGAGACTTCTGGTCAAGGTCAAAGATGTTTATCACTAACTGTTAAATTAATGATGAAACATGTGCGAGTTCAGAGAGAGAGGGGAGCTGATTTGATCCTGCATGGGAGGCTGAGGTCATCATGGACTGTGAGCTGTGATAGCTGATAAGCGTGTATTTCATAAACAATTCTCGCACACTGTCCGATGCAGATTTTCACGACCGGGTTTCAATAAGGCAGCTGTGTAAGCCTGTGAGTGTGTCTGCCATTGCAAGTAAAAACTAGTTAAATATCTTCTCGTGTCCTCAAGTGTGACTTTTTTCATTCAACCTTTATTTAGACAAATAACTCACATTGAGCCTAGAAGACTCATTTACAAGTGAGATCTGTTTAGACAGACAAAAAGTAGTGAAACTAGACATGTGTAGGAATTGGAGACAAAAAAATTCTTATCAGACTTTTTCTTCCTGCCTGAGAAGAAAAAACTCTAATATTAAAAAACACCTCGCACAAACAATCGCATAGTGACATAGACATTCTGCAGAGGGGGACGACGAGAGCGGTGAGCAATGTTCATAGATGCTCTCGAGGTCACTGTAAGAGTTCTGATAAGGATGAAATAATCAGTCAATGTCCTCCGGTGAGATCCATAAACATTCTCGAGGTATGTCGGGGAATGGGCAAGAATAACGTCTATGAGAATCCAAGAGTCCTGAAATGATGACACAAAGTTTATTCAGCTGGTTTCATCTGGTTGATCAGTTGGAAATTTCTCAGGGAGGGGGTGGTGAGCGTCAGATCACATGTTCTCCAGGTGAATTCAGATAAGATGCTCTTCAAGGTCAGCCAGGGGAGCCAAATTCAGATAAACACACAGTTGTTTTGGGGACAGGCAGAACTTAATGATGTCTACCTTGAGTCTGTGTTGGTCGACTCGGTTCTGAAATGTCCAAATTACATGGCCACTGAGTAAAATCCCCAAGATATGATCCATTCTGCCCAAAGCATTTGAGTCTGGGTACTCGAGGCACCAACCAAGCCATCATAAAGGCAAGCAGCGTGATCGGGACCAAATTTTCTGCCGATGACTTCCTTGATTGTTGGTAAAACCAGCGACCAGCCAAATCCAAAAAGCAGGAACCAATTATCGTAAATCCAATTATAAATGTGTCCTTAAAATCCACAAATGGCAGCAGAGATAGACACGTCATCAAGTCTTCCAAGTCGATGAGATATCCAGCTGCGTGCCAACAGGGCAAATCGGCTCGCCTAAAGCCTGTCTTGTCTTCAAAGAAATGTTATCAATTGTGTTGAGGGACAAACTGATCAAAACAAGTCCATAATTATGGTTCGGAAGATCTGCAAGAGAGGCTCACAAGCAGTTTCACAGACAGACAGAGACTTCTTTGAGTAATTAAGATGAATAGAGGATATTTTAATCCAAAAGTAAGTTTAACCACCGCTTTAGAAGCATGTCATTGTTACCAAGACATGGATTTCAAAGAAACAAGAGAAATCAACATCTCAAGCACGGCAGTTCTTCTATTAGAGGTAAAATTGTTGCTTTATACAAAAAATAAAGCTTTAATCACTTTGAGTGCTAACAGATCATGAAATTTGTTTAAAATGTTGACGTTAAAGGCAGCGGTTGATAAGCATTCCTCAACAGATGTGATATTTAAAGCCTAACTTCATTTTTTTTATCAGGCAGACATAACTCAGATATCTGACAGTCGTTGTAAGAGAACTGTTCCTGAAAAAAGGAATATATTCCTGTATACATGTGAGAATCTGTCTATTGTTTGTGTTTTTCTTGTCGTCTGTCCTGCCTTCCTCAGGTTTTGTCCCTCATGTTGCCAGCTCCTGTTTCACCTGGCCCCAATCCCCCCCAGGTGTTCATCATTGTGTCTTGTTAGTGTTCCCTCTATATTCAGCGTCTCTGTGTTTTTCTCCTTTGTCTGTGGATTGTCCTCTCAAGGTGTCATGCTCTGTTCATGTCCCACGTATGTTTTACTGCCACGTCAGCCTTTTTGTTTATTTAAATAAATATTAGTCCTTCCTGAGACCTGTCTGCACATTGGGTTCAAAACTGCACAGAACATAATACAAGTTATTTCAGTAGATGTAATGTTTAAATAAAATATACCTCCTGTTTTTAAATTTTGTGAGTATGTTTGATCATGGGCAGCACGGTGGCGCAACTGGTAGAGCTGCTGCCTCTCAGCGAGCAGGTCCCTGGTTCAAACCCCGGTCCAGGGGCCTTTCTGGGTGGAGTTTGCATGTTCTCTCCGTGCATGCATGGGTTTTCTCCGGGTACTCCGGTTTCCTCCCACAAACCAAAAACATGCATGTTAGACTGATTGGTAACTCTAAATTGTCCCTAGGTGTGAGTGAGAGAGTGAATGGTTGTTTGTCTCGTTTGTCTCTATGTGTCCCTGTGATGGACTTGCGACCCGTTCAGGGTGTACCCCGCCCCTCGCACAGTGATTGCTGGACATGGGCACCAGCGACCCCCGTGACCCAAAAATGGAATAAGTAAAGATAATGGATGGATGGATGTTTGATCATATTCTACAGACTTTAACAATTTCTACAGATGTCAGGTGAGTCTATCTTAAAAACTATATTGATCAGATCATATTTAAGTAGTCTGTTTTCTCCTCTTAAACTTTCAGCAATAAGCTCCTGTGAAGCTGAAACAGTCAGTATTTTGGGTTTTGATGGATCCTCTGACCTTTAGCAAGGTCACACAAGCTCAGTTCATCATCTATTTAAAACCAGCCATAAAAGGTTTGATCATTCAAGCATTGATCTTGTTTTTCTGGCTGACTTGTCGTAACGTGTGGTCTCCAAATCACCACCTGGTGGCTCGGTGGAGCCGTTAAGATCCAGAGTCTGAATACAGAAACCACGTGTTTTTAACAAGCTGCAGAGCTGGACCAGGAGCTGCAGAGACCATCAAGATCCAGATGGTTCAACACGGTGCTGATGATCTGGTTAGATGCTTAAATCAAGCTGGTCTGTTGTTGTACCCAACAGTCTAATGAGTTTATCTGCTGTGTTAGTGAAGGTTCTGCAGAATTTAGATCTGAGGTTGTTACTGGGATCTGTTGGAGCCACTGTTCCAGTTTGGTGGTCACAGCAGCGAGTTCTCCTATCGCCACTGGGACTACTGATGCTGTGACTCTCCACATCTGTATTGTCTCTTTCAACTCCTTTGATATTTCTCCAGCTGCTCCTCTTTCCTGACATTACAGTCCCTTGAGATTGCTACATCTATCACCACTGCCTTCTTCTGCAGCTTGATGACCACCACAATGCCCATTTGGTTAGCCATCACCTGTTTGTCAGTCTGGATCTGGAAGTCCTACATTATCTTAGCCGTTTCATTCTCAACCACCCTTGGTGACATCTCCCACTTTGATTGTGGACCTCCAGTCCATATTTGGATCCAATGTTCCTGTGTATTTTTTGAGCCACTTGGTTATGGCGTTCCATGTATGCTTTGTCTGTCTGGATCTTACCCCCTGTATGTGTTGGACTGTCTCAGGGGTGTCTTTGCACAGCCTTTATCTTGGGTCTTGTCTGGTATGGTAGACCCCCGCATCTACTGCTCTTGTGCTGAGGGCCTCTTCTTGTGCTGCCATGATTAATGCCAATGTGAAGTCCTTCAGTCCAGCCCTTTCTATTCACTGGTAGAAAGTTTGATTGGCCTCTAGAGTTGTCTTCCACAGTCCCACTGAGTTCTTGATGAAGGTTCTTAGTGTCCTGTTGATGTTTTATAGTTTCAAGGACTCCAGTATCCATGTGTGTGGCATTGAGTCGAAGGCTTTTCTGTAGATAATCCAGGCAGTGCACGGGTTTGTGTATCTGATCTTACAGTCTTGAGCTTTGGCTCTGTCAACTAGCTGGTGCATGGCTCCTCTGGTGTCGGTGTCAATTCCTTTTCGTGCCTCGTTCAGACTGTCCCAACGACCAGTTTCAGCTCTGAGTGGATCTCATGTTGTTCCCCTGCCATTGAGGGTACACTCTGGGTGGTGTGGAGGAGAGTACCCTGTTTATTCTCCTTCTGCTTCTTGTGTGTCCCTCTTTAGGCAAGTAGCCAGAGCTCTGAGGCGTTGCTTGGTAATCCAACCTCACACACCAGCCTCAGGTATGGACATATTGCAGTATTTAGGGTTGAATGAATGAGAAACACGGTACTATGCTTTGCAGAACCTGGAGCACTGAACCTGAATGCATGTTGATGCCACAAACATTGTGCAGTTTTTATGAAATGTTTACTTTTTTGTTTCTTGTCACAAATAAAACAAATATGTTAGAAATTACCCTGACTTATAATCTTTATGACCCGCTGTAGAAAATTAATTTAATAAAATGTTAAGCTATTGTCCAGGATTCATTATGATCATATTACTGCATGGGAGCATGTACAGTATAAAGGAGCATAAGTGTTTCAGAGAACAAAATTAATTAATGTATTTATTTAT